ATATATATATATATATATATATATATATATATATATATATATATATATAAAATTTCCAGAGGAAAATTATCCATGCTTTAAAAAATAATGATGTTGCTACATTTTTGTTTTGCAGTGATAATTATGTTCTTTATATTAAAAAGTGAGTTGATAGTCTCATGAGCAGGTAAATATGTGATTATTCTGTATTAATAAAGTGCAGTTATTTTCCTGGGTTATAGGGGAGAAAATCTCATATACACCAACCTTTTTGAACATAATTGTATTCATTAGTATGTTTACTGATCCTCATTTTGCAATATGCTATTGCCCTGTGTTTGTTTTATGCTAGGAAATCAATTTTTAAATAGATTTTCCTAGAGCTTAGTGTGTTAGTAAAAGTCTAAGACTATAGGAAAAGATGTTAGCACCTTTGAAGGTAATATATGTGGGGAGAAGAAAGAACCAAATTCTTCCAAAGTGTGCTCTCTATCAGGGGCTAAGTGTGGCCTCAACTGACCACATCAAAACTACCCCAGAACTTATTAGAGTGCTTAATCTCAGAATCCAGCTCAGACCTGCCAAATCAGAAACCGTGACATTGGACCCACTAATCACAGCCTAACAATCCATCCAGGCCTGTCTTTAAAGTTACAAACACAGCGTGTCTCTATTTTGAACAAATACTAAGGATTCACCTAAGTGTAAGATATCGTTTTGCTCACTAGTGGATTTTTTTTCCCCACTACTGTTGCTGTTAAAGTCCCTTCCTCCTACTGTACTCACATAAGATTCAAGGGTCTCATAAGAATCTCCCTTAAACAAAATAACATGTCAGGTATGGCCGCATATACTGAGTAGTAACAGGAAATGCATGATGTTTGAAAAGAATAGAGATATAGCCTGGAGCAACCAGAGAGCCAACCTTTGAAGAGCTGTGCTTTACTTCCTTACTGTCACTCTCCTATTGCCAGGAATTTTAAGTTCCTTTTCCTGTGCATCCTTCCATTGTGCATATTTTGGAGAAATTGCTCACCAGATACAGAGAGACACTGGTTTAGTTCCCTGTCGCGTTCCTTGCATGGACATTTGAGGACAAATCAGGAGCAGGAGGGCTGCTAAATGGAGCTGGTTTTATCCAGTGGTGCGCAAGCCATTGTTCCTACTTTCTTGGGTACATAACCATCTCCTCCCCATGAAGCAAACATCTTGATTTATTATTTCTTGGACAGTTTATATACTTTCCCCTCCTCTAAGCAGATTTACTATCACCCTACTAGGACAATGTTGATCACACTGAGGCAAGAGGATCCTGGTAGTCTACTATACAGACAAAATGATTCTGTGATGGGTCAGATGAGTAAAAATGTCAATCTCTTGTGTTCTGTATTTTCACTCATTCAGGGACATAGTCATTCTCTTATCACTTCAGATATTTTCTAGTCATTCTTGTATTGTGCCAGTAGTCTGACCTCTTAGCTGAGGGTGGTGGGTAATAAGGTAACTTTCTTTCTGCTTCCTTTGTGAAAATCATCATAGGAATTATTTCTGTACCTGCAAAGTCAAATGCATTGAGAGAAAAATGTGTCCATGCCTATATTTTTCTGCTGAGGCCTAATGGATGTTTGGCAGAATTGTAGAAAATGACCTGGAATGCTGGCCAACCTGGTTCCACCTCTGATCCTGTATTACACCACTGTCTTGCAAGGTTTTTTTCTTGCTTATTTTTTAAAATGTGTATTTAATTTATATATATATTTTTTATAAAATTTTCCAGTTGGAGGAAGCTATTTAATTTCTTTCAAGAGCTGTTTGGGGACATTAGAAGAATATGGTTTGCTGTTTGCAAAATACAATGGCAGTGCTATTTTTAGGACTTCTTCCATCATCCCCATGATTAGCTTGTCTCTGGGGGCTTCAGGAAAAAGACCATTTAAGTTTGCTGCATCCAGAGTCTGACTTTGTTAAGTTGCTCTTTTCTTTTTAATTAGGAGCCATCCAAAATAGCCTCTCTCTGTCTGTCTGTCTCTCTGTGTCTCTTTCTCTCTGTCCCTCCTCCCCTTCCTTTAAAATGACTTGTTTTGCAGGTGTGAGCGCAGACTGGTTAGGTGCCGCCAGGATGTCCCTGAGACAGTTCAGCTGGGAGCCGCTAAATGGGGGCAGCAGCTCACATGGGGATATTTGTCATTCTTGACATTATCCTTTATGGGAAAGGGCCTTCGTTAGAGGAGCATTTCCATTTTAGTGGCTGAAAGACCTGAACCACTGTTATGACCTCGTTTTCCTCACTTGGTGCTGGAGAGACAGCCAGGAAGCGGATGGGCCCTAAAGAGCTAAGAACCACCCCACCCCATCCAGACGTTCACTTTCTGTGGGGTGGTCTCTGAGGCAGGTTACTCAGTGGCGAGTAAGGACAGCTGTGTGCATGTGTGTGCAAGTGTGTGTATACTTGCACAAGTGTATGCAGGTAATCTTGGAATACACAGACTAAATATTTTATATATATGCAAATTCCATGTTTACAGGAAAAACACATTTTATAAAGATGTATCAGAATTTGGTAATTAGAATCCAATAATATTAAGAGGTTCTGTGTAGAGCAATCTTGTAATTTATTTTTCCTTTTAGGAGATTAAAGTCATTTGTTTACTTCCGCAATGCTTTATTTGGGAAATACGTCAGATTTAGGTACTCTCTGTTATGCCTAAGAAATATACAGCTTGTTCTTTGCTTTGGCATGTCCTTAGGTATGGCATATATTTCAAGTGAACTGAATAGGAAGAAGGCAGATGTGCTTCCTGTCCTCCTCAGGTTTCTTGAGTATCGGGAGAGACAGATCATTAAGATGAGCAACAGCAATAAAATGTGCTATGCTCTGTAGTGATGGAGAAGCTATTTAGACTCCATGCAGGCAGACTGCTGTTGTTAGACGTGGAATGGCTTCCAAAAAGAAGGGCCGTTTCAGCTGAGAGTGAAAGATCAGTGAGAATTTTTCAAGGAAAGTTGTCTTCTAGGAAAAAAAAGGCAAAAGTCATTGGGAAAAGACTTGAAGCTCTTCATCCACAAAAGCATGAATCTTCGGACCCTGGTCACCAGCCTCATGGATAGGAGTCCTCCGAATGAGAAACTTGAGCTTGATTGTTCATATACACTGAAAAATGTGTACTTTCATCCATCTAGGCCACTTCGGAGCCTTTATATAAGGTATAACATGGGATATACATGAATGCAGAGACAGGAATCTGTATAAGATGAGAAAGGAAAGTTAACCAGGATACAGGAAGGTCAGACTTGATGACTCACAAAAGGGTTTTTAAATAAGCAAGTCTTGCTGACCTGGCAGTACATGCTGGGTCACTGTTGTCTGATCTATTGGCCATGGTCCCCATCAACACGTCACAAAGACGAGTTGTTTTTTTTTCTTTCTTTCTCCTCTAGGAGGCACTGTGCCTTCTCTCAGCTCCAGCCCTCCCATACAGGAGACAACAGGAAGCAATGTCTCTCAGGCAGAGGGTATCTGGGCCCACTCTGCACAGCCCTTCTTCTTATATTCTTCATTTCCAAAGGGGTTCTACATCAGCACCCCTCTCAGCCTCTAAGCTCTTAACACCACCTCCAGAAGATGCTTGTTTTGTTCACCATTCCAAGACAAAAGTATTCATAATATCTTGAAGAGCTACATGTTGCTGTTTCCCTGAGATATAATTCTGACCATGAGGCAGGTGCATGGAAATCACCTCAGCATCTGCTGTCAAAGCTGCCTGGCCCCTGAGCTCAGCAAAGCTGGTACCTGATAATGAAGCTGCCCAAGGGGGCAGCTCTCTGGTTATGGGTCAGCTCCTGGATGGGAATTCTGATCACTTTTTGACCAAGGGAGGCCATACCACTTCTGCTCTGGTTGGAAGACAGATTCACATTCTGGTAAAGCTCAACTAGTCATCAGCAACTTATAATGAGGAGACAAGATGGGGGTTTTCTTTTTTTATGCACTTTCTGTAAGAGTCCAAATATGCTTCTGTCTCTATCTTCTCTCCTTGATGTATATAGTGCTGATCTGAGGCCAGCAGATAGGGCTTGTGTTCAGACAGTGGTGTGAGAACAATTTTTTTTTAAGATATGGTTGGACAGGAGTGTTGATTGGTCAGCCTACCTCTTCAGGTTCCTCCCAGTACTGCTGTGACAGTGACTGCTGGTCCCCAAGACACAGAGGACACTGCCTGTCCCTCCAAATGTAAGACAGGGCTATAGAGTTTCTTTTCTTGGTTGATGAGAGAGTATAAAACCAGAAGCCTAGTTTTCTGTGCTACTTTGTAAATGCTATCAATGCTGGAGAGATAGGCTTACAGGGGAGGATGAGAATACTGCTGAGAAGCCTTGGGCGTACTATCATGGCTGCATCTTTAACATCTAAGCCCCAAATGACTAAGTCATAAGCTCACCCTGCCCTATAGATGACTCTATCAGTACCACCGATATAAAACTCTACTAATCACAGAGAATTTAAATCTCCTTTCTAATGGTGTACAAATCGTTATGAATCATGGAAACCCAGTTCTTCGGTCACACAAGTGGCTTTTTAGGCAAACAGTTTCTGAGCTCCACTCCAGGATTCTAATCTGATAGATATGGAGCATAGCCTGGGAAAGTATTCAAGGATTTAATTTGCTTCCCTATTCCTCCGACTGGCAACCAAGGTTGAGACCCACTTGGCAAAATGTAAGTGTTGGTAAATAGAAAAAAAACCACCAGATTTCTGTCTTTTCTTCTTTGAGGAGCTATTCTTTGCCAAATTCTTCAGTTAGAAAATTGATTGGCATATTCCATTTGGGGAATGGAAGACTAAAGCACAACTTATCTTTCACCCTTATTCTTATATTTCTTATTCTTATACTCTTATATTCTAGTATTTCACCCTTATTCTAATCACAGATCCCATGTTTTGGAAAGATAATACAAGGTAATTCAACCCAATCCTCCAAACTGCAGAAACTTAATTTTTCTCTATATGTTGAATCTTGAAGAATAATCAGTTATCCTCACCTGAACACATTCACAGCTCATGTCCTCAGTCCTCAGTGAGTGAGTCCATCTTGGGCAACTCTTCCCTGGCACCTTGAAATCTGGAGGTCACAATAGAAGCTTACTGCAGGGTTCAGCGCTAACACCAGTTGCTTATGGCCCTACGTGTTTGTAATTACTGCACATTTTATCGGTAAAACTGAATATCATCCTGCCTCATCTAAGCAAGTAGAGCAAACATTTACTTGTGTTTGCATAAGGTTTACCCAGTGCAAATAGATGTTTCAACATACTGCATTATCTTACCCACTTTACCCTGTGAAATCTAGCAAGAGCTGCGCAAATTTGAACTGGAATTGTTCAAAAGGTTGGTGTATATATTTCTAAACAAGATGTACAAATATTTTAGGGGTTGAAAAAGTAATATGTCATGTTTTTTGTGCTCCTCTTAGGAACAGTGTCAGTGAAGACAAAAGATGGATTTTGACAATATGAAGTTTAGTGGGGTTGTTTTTTGAGGCTGAAATATTATGAGCAAATGTACCTGTGGTGAAGTAAAGGGTGTATTTGTTACATATCACTGTAAGAGGAAGCACGCAGTGTGCTATTACAATTGACATTCGATTCACGAGGCTTCTTAATTTTGCTACCTGTTGATATCAAAAATAAATGCAGCATAGTGTCTTTGAACTTTCCAATTTGTATACACATTTCCGTTTTGGGTAGATAAAGAAATAGAAAAACCTGTTAAAATCAAAAGCATGTATGTTATTGGGGGTGCGGGGAAAGCACTGATAAAAGATGTTACTTGAATTGTTTGCATTATTAATCAATGAAAGTTTATTTCTATTCATTTCATGTGATTTTTTGTTTGTTTGTTTACTAGACCAAAAAGTTTAAGATTTATTATAAAAAAAAGGTCTTTCCTTTTTTTAGGCTTTTAACTTTTATTTTTGAGAAGTAAAGGCTATAGAATTGATAAATTTGAATAACCCTAAAATTGCATGAAGAAGAGATGTTCTTAAAAGCACACAGCATGACTCTGTAGGCAATGTTAGAGGATTTCGGCATTCCTTGTTGAATTCCGTGCACATGTTTTATTTTATTTAATTTTTAATTTGCATGTCAAGAAAGTGGTTCCCTTTTTTTCCTCGTTATTTCATTTTATTCTCTGTGAAGACACTGTACATTTATTTTGATCTCATTTTCTTTTTGTTAGATTTCTTTTCCTCTGTAGCGATGTTTAGAAAGGTATTTTTGGTATCGTTCTTTGAATTCTTCAGGGGTTACAGCTAACTGGTGACAGAAAAGAAAATCTTGTTCACATTTGTGGCTTAATTATTGCACATCTTAGTACTCTTATAATTTCTCTAATTTGCATGTTACAGAACTGAAACCAGGACAAGAAATAGAAATTAAAGCGAGAGAACGTTACAAAGTGGTCGTTGACTGAAATAATAATCTGCATGTTGTTTTCCCTTCTCCCTCCTGCATGCAGGGATTTGGTTTCGTAACTTTCGAAAATAGTGCCGATGCGGACAGGGCGAGGGAGAAATTACACGGCACCGTGGTAGAGGGCCGTAAAATCGAGGTGCATGTTCAAAATATTTTCCTTTTCATCTTTTTTATAAATGTCTGCTTCACGCTCATCTGTTGTTCCAGATGCATCATTGGCGTCTTGTATGTGACCCTCCTCCCTTCTCATTGTTTATATATATATTTATATATAAAAAGGAAAACTGGCCTTACTTTTTTTTAATTTTACTTTATTTTGTTAATCTTTTGAACTGCTGAAAGGTGGATGGCAAAAGAGACCAAAAAAAAAAAAAAAAAATTAAAAACAAGGTTAATCTGAAAGGGTTTTGTTTTTTGCTTTTGTTTTTATTTTTCATGTTTTATAAACAATGGGTGCAGTAGGTTCCAAAGAAAAGACAGCATTACAAACCAAACAAAATACAGGACAGTTTCTTTTTCTTTTCCTTTCCACTTGAGGGTTGAAGAGGGATCCACAGTGGTTGGCAAAGTATACAGAACTGCAGGAGCAGTAGCATTCGGAAGATCTGTGAAAAAAATGAGAGGCATTTCTCATTAAACCTTTCATTTTTTTTTTTAAAAGAAGCCAGTTTGAAATTTTGCATTCGTTGGATTATAAAGGGAGTAACCAACCAGGATTTCCTGTCCACTGAAAATGTAAATACTCAAATTCTGACAGGCCAATTCTGCTGTTTGTACCACTGGGATCCCCCTCAACATAGCCAGAGGGTCATATTTGTTAAAACTTGAAAAAAAAAAAAATACCAGTTAAAAATGCTTTAGTCTTTGGAGTAAGATGTTGCATATTTTGCCTTTCATTTTCCCCCTTCGACGGTAACGCTTAGGCCCCTCACCAAACTCTCAGTAACCATGGTAACTGTATACAAACCCATGCTGGCGATGGTGGTGAATGGTAAGTGGTGAAGTCCATCTGCCGTTTCACGTATTTAGTGCTGATATATCTATATACATATCTATATACCACGTGAATTTTTTGACTTGTTGTATTAAGTTTTCTTGATGCTCTATTTTTTTGGATATTGGTACGCCTGTAATTGAGTGTACGTTCTAAGCTAGCCTGGGAGGCTCTGACTGGATTGAGTTATGACCGGTGCACATCTTACTCAGATCGTTAACTCCATATTGTGTTACACAATGCACCCTCTCTTTTATCCTTTCGTTAGCTGTGACTTTAAAGCTTGAATGATTTGTTAATTCTTGCGATGTAAAGGCTCTGTTCCAAGTGTTGAATGCTAGATGTTGCTTCCCGATGGTTCTTCCCTCCCGAAGTGTTGCACACGGCTAAAACTTGTCTGTCCCTTTTTTTGACATTTATGTTCCCTGTACCTTGTCTCTTCCCTCTCTACTCCACTGCATGTCCCTTCATATGGACTTTATTTTATGTTTTAAAAACGATTTATTGTTTCTGTGTTACCATGGAGTACACGCATGCTTTTAAATCTTCAATTATGCAGTATCTTTTAATTTGCTTTTACTGTCTCTTTATTAAACTTTTAAATGAGATGACATTGCTTTATTGAAATGATTTGTAAGTTAAAATGGTTATGAAGTAAATGTAATTATAAAAATGTATGATTTTGTTATGCACCTACTGCCTTTTATAAATTAAAATGCATTTTACTTTTTGTTTTGTTTTTGTTTTTAATAAGTAATCACAGTCATAATGCATGCAACTAATTGAATTGCGGGCTGGGATTGGAATACGAGCTCATTTGAGTTTTCTATGTACGTAGGTAAATAATGCCACAGCACGTGTAATGACAAATAAAAAGACCGTCAACCCCTATACAAATGGTAAGTAGAGATTGGCCTTTTCTAAGGAGTCCCCTCTGACTCTGTATCTATTAAGTTATTTAACCAGGGAATTTGTTTTAGCAAACCATGTCTGCCTCAGCATGGCCCCTGTATCTTTGCTCCTGACCTGCTACAGGGAGCCACCTAAATCAATAAGATTATTTTCACAACAAAGACATGTTTGGTTTCAGGTTAAGTGTGCATGCCCTTGTTCTTGTCTCTCTAGAATAACTCCTGTGAGGGGCTGAGACCCAGTAATTATTTAGGAATTATTTGGGTGATTTAATTCTAGTGAGTGGAGGGGAGAATGGAGGTTCTATCTGTTTGTTCTTTACCACTGTCTCGTCATTGATCACTACTCATTCTTGGAATTGTGGCCACATGATTTTGTTCAGACTTTGCATCTTCTCCAAACCTACTAAGGTTTGAACTCAATTGAGGGGTGCACTAAATAGAGTCCCACAGGGAGGGAGGGATGTGTGTGTGTGTGTGTGTGTGTGTGTGTAAATTACTGCCTAGGAACATTTGGGACCAGAAAAGAGTGCTGCTTTGTATTTGCAAACCCCTTCCAAACAATGCATTTCTGTTCTTACTAAGAACACTTCTCAAAACTCCTGCTAAAAAGAACTGGCATGTGCATGGAGACTACTAAATATGTTCAAACATTTTGTCTCTTTAATCTGCCAAATAAATACCTCTTAAGATATAGGGAAGGGGGGCTGGGGATTTAGCTCAGTGGCACAGCGCCTGCCTGGCAAGCGCAAGGTCATGAATTCGATTCCTGGTACCGGAAGAAAAACAAAACAAACAAACAAAAAAAAGGATATACGGAAGGAAATATGTGTGATGTTAATCACATACTTAACCATACTAACAGTTAAAAAGAAATGAACATAGTAAGTTATAGAAAATACACTTAATAGAATATCATATATCATACATATTAAAATGAGTAGGATAAAGACAGTGAAGGTTCTCATAATGAGTAAAGTAACTGAAATGATTACAAATGTGTGAATTGTATGTTTTTCACTAGGTAATGGTAGTTACAACTAAAATGTTAATGTTGTATTAAATTGTAAGACTAGATGATATCATTTCTACGATTTTGAAATTTTCAAAAGTAATGTAACTTTATTGCAATCAAACAAAAATATACAGATTTTTGCATTTTAAACTTTTAATTACATGCAAGACCTAGAAACACAGGCTTATTTTAAAAGAAAAAAATTAAGTAAGGAAACATTATAAACATGACTAAAATATCTTTTGACTATTACTACTTCCAACCTGGTTCCTTACCTTCCCCTTAGAGGAAGCCACTATCACGTATTATTGTCTGTAGTTCTATTTTGTATTTGTATGCATATATTTATAGTAGCTTCTCAAGTATAGTATTCATAGTATTGTGTATACATTTTTATATAAATGTTATGATATGCATCACATTTAATTGGATTTTATAAATCAACATGGAGTCCTCTCAATGTTAGAACACACAGATTAAACCAATTCTTTTTAATAGTTTCACTATATTCCATTATATATATATATATATATATATTCAGAACTTCAGTGCTGATTGATATTTAATTGCTTGCCTGTTTGTATTTGTATTTGATTTTCTGTTATAAACAACAGTATTAGCATTTGGTGGTTTCATTTTTCCTCCTCTACCAATAGCTACCAACCTGGCAAAGTCAGTTTATTTTTATTTTTAAAGAGTTTTAGAGTTTTTAAACAGGTATTTTCCTTCGACATAATATGGCCCTGCATCAAAAGAACAGAATCGTTTATTCTGATGACCATTTTTCCCAGTTCCAGCAACCTAAGACATACACTTAAATGATGTAGCTGATTTCCACAAAAGATTTTGAATACCAAGCCCTGAAATGAAGCAAACTGCTGATTAATGTGTCATGTGGCCTTTTGACTTGAGTAAATATAATAGCTGTGCAACTTGCCAGAGTTAATATGTGATGATATCAACCTATTGTGTGCTTTCTTGAATTATGAAATAGCATTGTGTGTGTGTGTGTAGAAGCACAGGGTGTTGGGTACCAGTGCAAAGGAACACACATGCGCTTAGTGAGAAAATGAAAGAAAGCAAAATATTACTCCAAGCCTGGCAAAGTTTTGGACACAATGCAAAGCTCATTTATAAGTATCCAACACTTTGGGAACACTGTGTGCATTAGATGTAGCACTTTAAAGGCACTGGATCAAAGTCCTAGCCTGGAAAAAGGACATCATTCCCTTGTTTTAAAGATGCAAAAGCATCATTAGGATAGATGAGAGGAAATAACTAATTAAGGCTTTTCATTTTATTATGAAGTGATAAAATCTTGTGGTCAGGCCTCTGTGCGTAGCAGCATTACTTTGCTCCTGTCATTTTATAGATATGCATCCCAGTGACAACCAGCTACGGTAACCAACAATTTATTCAGTGTGCAACCTCAAGTTCCTGCCAGATGTTGGCATGAATAGCCCACATGCCTACATGCTTAATTTCTAGGAACAAGCCTTGTGGGTTTTTCTTCCATGGACCTGAAAAGCATGCTCTCAGGATTATTCCTGTCACACACTCTGAGTCTGGCATGTAAGGCGTAGATGGACAGTCACAGTTGAACTGATTTACAGAACAAATGCAAATCTCAATTGTGCAGAGTCAGTGGCTTCTGTAGACGAGATTATAGAGAGCTTTGGTATTTAATGACAAGTATTTCTCAAAGTTTTTCCAATTTTTACCTCATAAGTATTATCACTATAAATAACATTCCCCATAAATTGCAATGTAATAGAACGTGGAAGATGGGGGTGCTTTCAAATTCACAAGAGGATGTGGTTGTGATAAGAAAGGGTTAGTCAGGACCAACAGAGTCCCACTGAAAAGAGAAAATAAATTCAGGATCATAAACCATCAAAATCATAATTTAACCAAATTATAAAGTACTGGTCATCAAATTTTTCAAGTCGTATACTGCCAATATCAGATTCACAAATTCCTTCATGTATCCAACCAAAGTGTTAACAGCTGCAGTTTCTGGTGATGAATTAGATTGGGTACTAAAAGCAATGGGAAATTTGTGTCTCGGACGCTATACATAGATCATGCAGGATGTGGGTTACATTCCAAGGGTTTTTATATGTGGAGACAGAACTGTGGAAATATATGCTTTTGGAAATTCCACTAGCCAGAAAGCCCCACAAAGCGGGACTGGTACTACTTCTGTTTTGTGATTTCTTCCAAGAACATCTCCCTATAAAGAAGAGTTGGGACTTACCATGTTCATTAGATAGTGAGTGCTGGATCTGTGAAACTACTTGGGAGTTACAGCAGGAGTGATTTCTTAGAAGTCAAGGAACTTTGAGTTCATTAGACATGGCTCTTCATTTGCTCAGTGATTTTGGGGAGTGGTGAACACCAGACAAAAATATATAAGACTTTAAAGAGAAGTGGTGTTCATCCCTACTACAGAATTACCAGTCACTCACTATTGACCTTTAGGAGAGTTGCTTAAACTCTCCCTACCCAAGCGCTCATAAGTGGGAACTGAGCATATAATGGAACCTGTGTCACAGGCATTTGTGATTAATATGGGAGACAAAGGACACACTCAACACTATGCTGGGTAAACAGAGCCTCCTGTAGTTTTTAGTACTAATTGTAGGAGACTGTTACCTCGGTATGCAGTGACCTCAATATTAAGTAATAATCTTGCTCATTTTTTGCTGTGGATATAGCAAGTTTTTGTTTTTTTGTTTGTTTTTGTTTGTTTTTTTCCGGTACCAGGAACCGAACTCAAGACCTTGCGCTTGCCAGGCAGGCGCTGTGCTGCTGAGCTAAATCCCCAGCCCCTGATATAGCAAGTTGAATTCCCAGTTTAAGGATCAAATGTTCAGGTCTAAGAAGGGCTGAGCAGGTAAAATCAAACAAAGCAAAAGGGGAAAGTCTTTGAGAAATTCAGTCTTAAACTATCTTTTCTTGTTACTGAGTAAAGCGGAAGATTTCTGTACTAGAGAACAAAATAGTGCAGGGTGACAATAGGAGATAGAGCATAATAAGGGTCAGTGATGATAGTTATTAACTGGGATGTTAAATGTGACAGCCTATCGTCACTTGGAGTAAAACTGTGAGGATTCCTAATTTAAATGTGCCATCTCTACCCATGTTTACCATACCTCAAATCATGTGTTTCAGGTAAAATCTCAATTTTGGTCATGAATACATATTGCCAAAAAAATACACTGAGTGAGCCAAAATAAAACACATAAGCAAACAACGTGTAATTACCTTCTCTGTATTCTGACATTTGGATATTGCCTCCTACATCATTTTACCCGCTGGCTTGCTGGCATCCTTAGTACATGTCTTTAGAAAGCATGCGTCTGCAGTTTTGAAACCCCTGCAATATATTAAGGTTACTTTCTGAAACTTGTTTCTTTGATATCCAGCCCAGCAAAACCCTAGAGAAGGAAGGGGCTGGATTTTGTGTGCCTTTGGACACCCACTATAGCAGTAGTTAGCACTGGGACTCTTGGCCAGTGTTTTTCTAAAGAATGCTGGCATGTGACCTTGGACAAGCTCGCTTTAGGGAGGGGAGTGCTGATTCAGATGCAGTAGCCCCTGGAGGCTGAGCCTCAGCGGGTCTCCCCAAACTGCTCATGTGTCTGATTTCAGCAAGACCCTGTGTGCTGAGCTCTGCTCCATTGCTTTGCTGTTTGGGGGGCCCTGGGAGGCTGGAGGTAGTGGGCTTTATCAGCTGTTCTCTTTTTGTTGTAAGCCTCATTGTTTGGTTTAATGTCCTTGATCAAAATCTCTGAATTTGCAAGGCCTGGGGACTTAATACAAACTGCCTAAGTAATTTTAAATGGGATCATTTTGCCCATCTTCCTGAGAATGCAGGCTCATATCTCCAGCAAGGTTATCCCAAGGGTCTCCTCCAGGTACTAGAAGAGCCACAAAATCTATGAGTTCATTTACATGTGATTTGCATATATTTGCTTGAGCCTACTGGAAGTCTAAGTCTGAGCAAGTCTGAGCAGAGGTGATTTTCAAGGGCTGGATTCTCACTGCCTTCCCTGGAAGACAGTTATCTATATAGCAGGGCCCTTTTCAATTAGATGTAGATTCTCAATCAGGAGGCAGGTCCATAGAGGCTGGAAGGAAACAGAATCCCAGTCAAAAGAAAATGAGTCTATTAGAAAAAGCTTCATTTTGCTTCCATTCCTTTAATAATATCAAGTAAATGTTTATGGAGCATCTGATGTTTGCCAAACACAGCTCTAAGTTCTGGAGATTCATGGTAGACAGCAGTCTTCTGCCCACTCTTACCATAAATTTTAATGAAGGAGAGTGTTACAAAAAACAAAAACAAGCAAAGAAGGAAAGGAGGTGTATCTAGGCAGTGTTCACAGCTATGGATAAAGTATAACTGCACATTGACTCAAAGAGTAACTCCAAGAGAAGGCAAAGAAGTGACATGTTCTGGGAGGAAATTGCAGACCTATATATCACCAAGATGATCTCATAAAGAGCTGGGCCGAGTTCTCCAAGCAGAAAGAGTAAAGCCCTGAGTCTAGAATAGATATAGATTTTTTTTAATTAGGTTTATTGGTACATTTAAATATGCATAATGATCATGTTCATCATAGGGAATTTGTACCTGTTCATGTTAGAAAGAACAGTGCCCACTATAGGTTGAAGAAAGGGGACAATGGTCCAAAATGAATAGACAAGGTTTAGATTGTGTGGGTTTCTCAGCCAAGATAAGGAATTTTAGTGTATCCTAAGTTTAGAAAGAAGCAATTGAACTTCATGTAGCAGAACGACATATTTAGTTTACTTCTTAGGAATCCGTTCAGCCCTGTAAAAAGAATGGATGTAGAGGGAGGAAAAATACAGAGGTAGGAGGAAGTGGTGAGAGGTCGGGTGTTTTTGCTATGTGACTTGCTTGAGAGGACATGACAGTGTTCCTATATGGGATAATAACCAAGGAGAAGAGAAGATTTCTCCATGTTTGACGATGAATATTTCCTAATGGGCTGCCTATGGGATGTGAAGGCAAAGAATGAATCATGGAACTACTGATTAAGAATTTGTTCTGAGCAACCAAACAAGTGGATGGGTTGCCGTTTGGTAAAGAGGGAAGACTTGGTAAAGATCAAGTTCCAAGGGGTGAAGGGAGAGGAAACAGTGAGTTTTTATGCCAGCTGTGCAGTTTTGGAAGGACTTCATTTTCTGTACAATGAGAGTGGGGAGTCTTGATTAGGAGAAAAGATTAGGGATGGGAAGAGGATAATAGCTGCACTGCTATTCCTATGATGACCAAAGTAGTACCCTTTGCAGCTCACAGATTCTTCTGAAAGAAAACTTTTCAATTATCTCTTCCATTAACATTTTCAGACATGAAGCGGCAAGGTTCTCTTGATGATGAGTATCACTTAATTTGTGCTATTTTTATACTAAGAGATAATTTTTCTTGAGCAGATTTGACAAACTGATAGATGATAGATAATAGATGATAGGTGGATAGATAGATAGATAGATAGATAGATAGATAGATAGATAGATGATAAATAGATAGATAAATAGTAGAAAATAGAGAGATGACTAGACAGGTAGATAGAGAGATAGATAGATTTCTTGGCCCAAAGAACCAAAACAGATAAAGACAGAGAATAGAAATGTGAGTTCTATGCAAATCTGAGAAATCTGTTTCCTTGAGGAAATAAAAGACCATCTGCATAACTTAAACTATTGTGAGCTACATTAAAATTAATAGTGTGCCCCGGGTTTATATGCAAAAGGAAATCTTTAAGGGAGGTACAATAATAAGGATGTGTATAAGAAACAAAGCCTGAGTTGAAGTGTGTGAATAAGGCCCCCAACTCCAGTGGCAATAAAAAAAAGGTAGGGACATAAGTAGATATAAGATGGAAACAAAGAGGTGGAGAAGAGGAATAATAACTTAATAACTTATTCATTTAATATTATTCCAGGGAGATCTATTTTACACATTCAAAATTTCTGTCAAGGACTAGAAAGTTAAAGAACATTAAAGCTTTGATTTCAACTACTCTGCTCTATTTTCCCTTAGACTCCAAAAACTTGAAATGTGGACATTAGTCCCATGTCCTCAGGAATTGGACATTTTCTTTTGTAGGAAGTGGTGAAATTTCAGAATATAAAAGAGTAAGGTATCAGTAGGAAATATTAAAAACCACATGGGTCAGTAATTCTCAGAATTTCATGTCTGCTTCTGTAGGTCTAAAAGGGAACCCAGGAATTCCATTAATTTGCCTCCTAGGTAATCTAAGTACGACACTTTGAAAACCCCTATTGTAAATCATCCTGGGAAATGAAAATCTTATCCAAGTTGGAACTGAAAGTTCTTAGAAACAAAACATTGTTACAAAGTTCTAAAGAATTTAAATTTTAATAAATCCTGGGGCCTTTCTGTTGAGGTACTGAGCTTCTCTCTTCCTTGGTGGATCTCAGGAGCATTTCTCAGCTGCTCTTAGAACCACATCACTAGGTTGGGTGGGAAATCATCCATCTCCCCTCTGGAAAGCCTAAGAGAATTCTCACTGTCAGAAACACCTTCCCTCTCATCCAGACTTTTACCATTGCCTTTTCTATGGAACCATTATTAAAGGTCATTTAATGTGTGACCTTATGTCCAAGCGCACAAATGCAAGGAAGCACACCAACCCTCTGTTGTCTTTCAAGAGTTCCTTAATGGGTGTTCTCATGATGATTTTCCAGCAGGAGCAGGAAACAGTCACCTACCCTAACACATGATCACGCTTAGGAAGTGTTCCCTAAATAAGCTCTATGGGTTTGTAATGTGCTTCTTGCTTTGGGAATGTTCTGGTATGCTCTTTTCTTGAGTAAAAAAATTTCTGAAGGGCCAACATTCATTTTAAAGAAACCTTTATTTGCAGAGCATTTGAAAAATTACAGGATTCTGTTCATCTTATAGGCAGGTTATTTAAAGTTACCTTATATATCATGCATTGATTAAGAATTTTTATGGTTTCTGAATGCATTAAAGTGCAATCCACACTAAATCTCTAGGGGATAAAATATCATTTTCTTTGGTATTCGTAAAGCAGTGCAGAATTTTCTAGTATCTCTGGGTCATAATTAGGAATGGTAGTCATTAGCATGTGTTTTTGTAACGAATTTTGTGTATGCAAGCTTTCTAATTACTGTAAATTTAATGTGAAGGTACATGTGATGGATTATCTAGCAGTGGTATATGAAACAAGACAGAAAATTGGAATTATTATACTGGCTCTAAAAATATTGATATGGCACAAAATTAATTATATCATTTTGAAATGCTTCACCTGTAGCCCGCCAGTATTTCCATCCCATTACCTCACATCGACAGAAAATCAAAGAAAGCATAAATCTATTTTTTATGTATAGTTGTCAAACATTTTATGTATGCCCAACCTATATGTCCTTTCATTTAAAAATATATTTTTTAAAAAATACCTTCAGCCTATTTGAAATGTGGTCATTTTGCAGTGATACAAGTTGTTGATCAAAGGTGGTAATAACGTGTTTGTACCTTTGTTTTAAGGCTGGAAATTGAACCCCGTTGTGGGTGCAGTATACAGTCCTGAATTCTATGCAGGTAAGGAGTTTCTCTGTGCATGCAGTCTTAGTCTTTTCTCAATGTGCTTTGCTTGTCACTAAATAATGGGTTTTGTAAAATAACCTAAACCATGTGAATCCCTGTCCTAATAACTTCTGAATGATTTCTTTGGGCAAAACCAAGAGAGTTTTAAGCCCTTTAAAAACTAAGGGGGAACCCTATGCCTTACGTTGCGGAGTAAGCGTGGAGCCCTGCTCCCTGTGACATTTCACATTGGGTTTGCCCTAAAAAAGCATCGAGGCTTTGTTCAATATTATCATATTGAACAAATGGAGAGTGACTCATGCCCATTTTATTTCAATGTGCCTGTGTGTCTTTTAGTTGCACATTTCCATTTGGGGTTCATTGCATTTTCTTTTTCCCAGAAAAGCAGAGAGTTGGCTTCCTTATTCCAATAACACGGCAGTAACTTGGAGTTGCCAAGAGAAGTCCTGTTTTTAAAGGAGAAAAAATTAAGTTGTCTGTTTTCGATTTGTCCATTTCCCTTAGCAATTCCTCTTCTCTCTCCTTTGCCTTCAAATACACGTCTCTCTCCTTACCCTTTCTCTGCCTATAAGCACCAAGTACCCCTCAATTAGGAAACACAGGTACCAAATTTGGGGAGAGGACAATCTAGACACACCAGAGACAGATCTCCTGCTTTGATGTGCTCAGCTTGTCCTGTCCCTACTGCTTCCAGCCTCCTTCCTCATCAAGCAGGCTGCAAAGAACATCCAGAACCCAAGTAGAGACTGGACACATAGGTGTGGAACAGGAGTCTTTCTTTGATGGGGCTCTTGCTTTTGAAAACGGAGAAATAAATAACCAATTTACCTTAGACCCAGTCCCTTAGTGGTCTCTTGACGGTAAGTTGTATCTCTTGTTTGTTTCTTCCTGGGTTGCCTAACTTCTGTTGGCTTCCAGATACAAAGCATCCATCCTGGAGGAACATATGAAACTGAGCTTGGCTAGCAAAAAAAAAAAAAAAAATGATGAAAAGCAAAAATTAAAAATTTGGTAAATCTAGGAAGGCTCCATATGCTAGTGGAGTTCTGGATTTAGACAGGCAATGTTTGCATGTGTTCGTCATGTATGAGTTTTGTTTAGCAGAATCCTGGATTGAGTCCAGGGATCCTCCCCGTCCCTGAGTCCTTGCATAGTAGTATTTGTTGCCTCTTATGGGGGAGGATGAACATAACTATGGGGCCTTCCAAGATTGTATTGTGAAACCCACCGCCTGGGAGGATACCCAGCATAGTGAGGAGCATGGTACCTGCACCCAGACAGCCCAAGCTGAAATCCTGGCTCCCAGCAGTGTGACTCTGGACAAGTTACTTATCCTCTCTGTGCCTCAGTTTTTTCAGCTGTTAAGTGGGGATAATGATAACAAGCAGCTCGTAAGATTTTATTAGCGTTAAAGGGATTAATGTAGGAAGAGTGCTACATCGTCAGCAACATACAAACATTTGTAAATGAAAATGAATGAGTTGATACTCTACTTTTCTGCCATGAGGGAAAATTAGCTGAGAGCTGATTCTACTAATTTCTGAGCATTCAGTTGGAACAAGAGACTACTTAATTCCCAGGAGGCCTGGTTTAGTAGTCCTCAGCGTGGGGGAAGTTAATTTCTGGAGCAGAGCATGATGGTCTGTTCAGGGGGCACAGGGAAAGTGGCAGGTCCCCCAAATGGTCAAAGAGGAGTCGGGCACAGCTTCAGTGCATCTGTAGGAGCAGCCAGTGATGCACAGTAGCTGGATTAAGGAGTGGGCAGGTTCTCTATGACACGTGCACTGGTGGGGACTTGGCTCTGTGTGTGTTTTCTCCCCAAAATTACGGGATCAAGAATAAGGAACAGGAAGTCTGCTTGTGAGGAAGATGGTGCTAATGTGGGAATTGTGAGAGAAGGGCTTGCATCCTTCTGTCCTGTGTAGTGTAATTGCCAGTCAGTCACCTTGGCTCTGTTAATCAGGAAAATAGCCAAAGTCTCTTGTACCGAGGCCTTCAACCCTAAATGCATGCTTGTGCTTATGAATGGTTAAGAGGACATTACAACTGACTTACCTAACAAGAATAAATCAGTTTGCATTCCATATAGGGCAGCTATTCAAGTTAACTGGGGGCCTGGCTTCAGCAGTGGGGTCTCAAGACTGTGGTAAGACAGGAAGGTATAGGAGTTAATATTTATTGAGCAATTTTCGTGGGCCAGGCACGCGTCTAAGCACTTTGCACAAATGAATGTATTAAGCCCTTGTGAAAATCTTGCAAATGAAGAAACCAAGGTACAAAATGTTTATACAACTGGCCCAAGATTTCACAACCAGTTAAAAACAGGTCAGATTTTGAAGTCAGGCTTTGATCATCTCAGTGCCTGCATTCTTTATGACCATGTTATACTGCTTCTGTTTTTTTTAATGCTGCAATTTCTTTTGGCTATACGCTATGATCCTACTACTGCCAGGTACCTAAACCAGAAAAAATTAAAGAAATAACAAAATCATTCTGGGTTTTTCCAGTCACCGCAATCATCAGTTTTATTAATTCAGTTTTTTTAATTGGTTGTGTCAGGAAAGCCTTTAATGACCGTGAACAACCACAACTATTTCTACCTGTTGTTCCAAGAAATTAAATCTAGAAAATTTGGAGCATGGAGAAACAAGTGTTAATTAGAAACACCTGAATATTCACGTTATGCGCTGCTGATATCTGGGTTAACCTAAATAACTACATATTTTCTTTCTCCTGTATATTTGTGGGTGTAGGTAGACAGAGTTCATGATATTCAGAAGTGTGGGGAAATATCAGTGCAGTTTCAACACTGTAGCACAATTTCTTGAAAATGTTTTAAGACTCAGAACCACTTAGAATAAAGGTAGCTTAAAATCCAAATCTAAGTATGGATATATACAAAAACATGGGTGTAGAATATGTTTATTTCCATATCCAGGTATAATTATTAATGTCATCCATCTATATGCCTATGGCTAAGAATTTATAAAGCATTTTAAATTTCCCAGCTACAGAAATAGTCTGGATTCATCTTGCAACTAGAAATATGCCTCAAAGCTGAAATGAGGACCTTGTCATTGATTCGCTTTGGATATTTTATAAGCCAACCCTGTATCTGCTTAAGACAGAAAGCCAGACTTATTAGTCATTTCTATATATAAGACACTATTAATGACAAATTTCATAATATTCCCATAGCATAATTATTGATTTTCTGGAGCTTATGCAGAATTAACAACCCGCCTTCAATTGTCTCTCAGAATGGGGCATGAAAAGTTCACATATTTTGTAAATTAAAATCAATAGTTTCAATCTCTCCTAAAGGTAATTTTCCTAATTTAGTGGACTTGTCCCTAACATTTATTTTCTCTTTTAATTATAAAATGGCAAGTTATTGATTTTTGTATATAACCTTTCAATGCCCCTAGTGCATTTTTATTGCTAATGCAGGGTGGGAATGGGAAAGGCAGTTGCACTTCTTAATGAGGACCTTTAATTACTAGCTGAACAGTATTCATTTGCTTTGATAAATTATGACATTTGCTCTCTCACACACACATTCTAAGGGAAGCGTTTAGAGAGCTGTTGCAAAAAGTCTTTGATTTTCCGTGGTTTTCACTCCTAAATTCTCAAGTCATTCTTAGACACACTTTTAAATTCTTATTCATTACCAGCCTGTAGAAGCGGATGTACACAAATCAGCATATCCCATGAACATATATAAATCTTCTCCAAAGACAGGTGGGTGTTTTCCTATAAAGTTAACAGCATTGCTTATTTTCCTAAGTCTAATCATCTTCAGACCCCTGGAGGGTTAGTCTCAAGACAGATGATTGATAAGTCAGTGAAGACTGAAGTGGGTGTTAAAGACTTTGGCTCATGTGTATGAACATGCCACTTTAAAGTTTAAGTAAAACTGTAAACAGTAAAAGTAGGGTACCTGAAGATATCTTTTACCCACAGCATAGCTCAAGCTATGTGGAGTAGTTAGAAATAGTGCTTCTAAGAATCTGGAGGAAAAGTTCTTAGAGGGGATTCTTACATTTTCCCTGTAATTATGAGAAGTTTCTCTGCCTTCTAATCAAAAGGCTTTTTTAAAAAAAGTAGTATCTTTTAGAGATAATCATGATATCTACCCAACCAAACTACTGATTTAAAGCAAGTTTAATTCATAAGTGAGTAAAACTGAATAAAAATAAATAATAGAAGATTGTACCAAGTTGTCAGCATGGTAATGACAAATGGCAAATTCATCTGTTTCTCAATTGCTGGTGAGATACACACTGCAGAGCTCTCCCACACCATAGATCACACCAGCCAACTCATTTCTGTGATTAAATATTCCATCCATAGGGTAAAAGGTGGCAAGGCTTAACAAGATTCATAAAATGCACCACTTGAACACACATAACTCATGTCTGTGCTTGGAGAGCACCCCACCTGCAAAGGAAAATTGGAATTGAGCTGGATTACTCATGAGACGTGATCTATAGGGGGAAAGGTGAAGATCTAATGAAATGCAGATTTTAAGATACAGTTTGGTCCCCACAAAAGATACACACGTAAAACCAAAAGTAGAGTGAAGCATAGGAAATCAACTTGAAAACCATGAAGATGATGATGAACAATGGTCCTGGACATTTATTATTACTATTATTATTATTATTATTATTATCATCATCATTGAGGGGAGAAAGAATTTCTGAATGGATTCATGCTGAAAATAAAAATTTCTAATTTTGAGAGGGGGAAAAGTGAAAAACAGGTACTAGAAAAAGAGCATGTCTGGCTGCAAAGTCCCACTTGAAAAGTGGCCAGGCCTTGAAAGAGGTTTGTTCTGGGGTCATTTGGAGGATCAGGTATAATAAAGAGTGAATGAGACCTCCACAGACTGTCAAGTAAAATATAAATATGAGGGATTAGAGTGATCACTAGAGTCACTGGATTATGTCCATATCAATAAGAACCTGGCTATGGACCACATGACTCAATAC